AAATGCAGTCTTCCGGATCTGAGAAGGTCTGCATGACACGCGTGGATCATGCAATTGAAAAGGGGATTATTGATAATTCGACGCTCGGATACTTTCTTGTGCGAATTTATTTGTTTCTTCTGAAAATCGGACTTCACCCCGACATCATCAGATTCCGTCAGCACCAGTCCAACGAAATGGCCCATTATGCATCTGACTGCTGGGATGCTGAGCTGCTTACTTCGTATGGCTGGATCGAATGTGTCGGATGTGCTGATCGCGCTGCGTTCGATCTTACCGTTCATTCTCTCAAGACAAAGGAGAAACTTGTCGTAAGAGAGCGTCTTTCTACTCCCGTTACCGAGCTACGTGTAGTTGCGGAGTTGGATCGAAAGGCAATTGGAATTACATTTAAAAAAGATGCCAAGCTCATTTGCGATGCTATCGCGCTCGCACAAGAGGATCCCGTATTAATGGAGAAAATTTTGCAAGAGTCTCTAGATCGCAATAAGGTGGCGGTTCCCCTTGCAGGATGGAATTCTGAACGCTCGTCCGCCTCTTGTCCATCAGATTTTGTTGAGGTTCCTTCTCAAATGCTGGGTCTTCGAAAGGAGCTGACCACGACACATGTTCGAGAATACACGCCAGCTGTCATCGAGCCGTCCTTTGGAATTGGCAGGATAATCTATGCGTTGTTGGAACATTGCTACTGGGTTAGGGCTCAAGATGAACAGCGATCAGTTCTTTCTCTTGCCCCGCTTGTTGCGCCAACAAAGGTCCTCATTGCTCCATTGCTTTCTCAAAAGTCTTTCGAGGATTTGGTCTCCAATATTGCTCTTCTTTTGAAATCGAAGGGTATTGCCACGCAAGCTGATTGCTCCTCTGCTACCGTTGGAAAGAAATATGCCCGTGCTGACGAGTTGGGAACGCCGTTTGCAGTTACCATTGATCATCAGACTGTTACGGAGGTTCAGGAAAATATCCCTGCAACGGTTACTGTTCGGGAGAGAGACTCGACCACTCAAATCCGCGTTTTTATTAATGATCTTCCAGATCTAATTGAGAATCTTGTGCAAGGCAAGTTGCATTGGAATAATCAGCTTCTTTCAAAATACGAAGTCGTCCAGTGTTCCAATTGCTGATAAATAAAACTCCTTAGCATCTGTTTACAAATCTCGCAATCGCCGAGCTATTGCATTATGTGGTTAATTCAACACTGGAGACGTGTCATTTTGCCGCTCAAGTGGTGAAACCCACGGCACACCATTACTTTAAAACTTTGAAAAGGGTAAAACTTCCATTCAAGTTGCACAGAACTACCGTTTTGCGGTTGAGCCTTTTAAAAACCTACAACTTGTAATTACAAATCGTGTAGAAAATTAAAATCGGCGCAAATTGCACCCATTGTTAGGGTTATTTGGAAATCTGCACATCCAAAATGGCGCTAATGTGGCTTGCTGCTGGTGTGTCATGAAAACGGTTGATTCTGAGACTTTTCCTGTGTGGCAGGGAAAGGCGCTTGGAGCGGATTTAATATTTTAACACAATAAACTTGAGGGATTTCAGTCTATTCACATTGTGTCAAGCATTAAGAGCAACCTAACCCTAAAACCATTGCATCCGTTTTACGGTCTTGAATGGTGATATTTTGAAAATTTACAAAATAAAACAATGCTTGGATTTTATAAATTCAATTTGCTTGAATTGCAAATCGCATAGTGGTCAGTGTCGCGCATGTGTTGAAAGTTTTCATTTACTTCCTTCATGTCAAGTACGGCCAAAAGATCACTTTCCATGAGCATGCTCGCTCGCAGATTCACCCTGGGCATGACAGTTAGCCAGACATCTGGTGCTGGTGCCATTTCTATTGCATTTGCCAATCCATCTTCTTCTCAAATATCTGTCCAAAGGAGATTTGCCAGCGGCATGACCACATCTGGCGGTTCTTCAGCTTCTCGTGCAGCTGGTGCAATGAAAAACACTCCAGAAAAGGCCCTCAAAGCCGCTATTGAGTCTGAGTTAAAGTACGAGAAGGAAATGACTGAAACGGACCCCATTGAGGTACCTTCCGAGGTTATAGAACATTTCAAAGCTCACGGTTTGACCATCTCGAAAGACAATACCGGTGATGCATTGGTGGTTCTCTCTGGTGAGAAAAATGGAACAAAGCTTTCCCTGGCCTTTGATGTGCGCCAAGTTTATCTCAACGAGCTTGGGGATGACGACGATCAAGAGACAATGGATAACGAGGAAAGTAACGAAGAAGAGCAAGAAGATGACCAAGAAGGCGACGAAATAGAGGCAGATGAGGATGCAGACATGATGGACGAGGGTTTAGAGCCCGTTGCAGCCAAGCTTGTTCTTACTAGGGGCAATTCATCGCTCTCCTTTGAAATCAGTCTCTCTTCAGAAGGTGTCGAAGTTCACTCCATGCATACCGGCGCTCTGCCATTGAATGCAGAGCTCTATACATCCGATGTATTCACAGGCCCCAACTATGTAGACCTTTCCACAGACCTGCAAGAAGCCGTTAGCGGCTATTTGGAGACGTTTGGCATCACAGGAGAGCTTGCGGATGTGCTCAGATCGTACATGGATGTCAAAGAACGCAAGGAATATGTCGCGTGGCTCTCCACGGTCCGTGACTTTTTCAAGTAGATCACCCACTAAATTAATTGAAAACAAATAAATGCACTTGACGAACACTTTGGGGATGTTAAGATTTAATTAGCTTTTGGCTTGGCCTTGGAGGCGAGCTTTGCCAAGCGGTCCTTGTCAAGGTGAAGCTTGGTGATAACAAGATTCGATGGGTGGATGCCGATTGGGACTGTGGCGCCTTGAACCTTTTCGCGAGAGATACGCTCAATGTTGACGACAAACTTTTTGCGATAGACGGCTGTGATTTTGCCCTCTCTGCCCTTGAATTTTCCGCTCGCAATGAGCACTTCATCGTCTTTCCTGATGGGCATGGATCTAACCAGATACTTCTGGCGCAGCTCCTTGGAGAGAGCAGAGCTCATCAGCTTTTGGCGTAGATGAGAGGGAGCAGTGAAGTGGGCCTTACGGCACTTTCTGCGCGATGAAGTCACCTCTATTTGTAAGATTAAGAAAGAAAAAAGGGGATCCGAAAAATAGAACTAAAATATAGGCCGATCAATATCAAAGAATTGGGGAAAATCAAGGGAAAGTGTAGGGAAACCCATCGGGAGAACATATGTCAAACATATCAAGGCTAACCCATGATACAGAGAACAAATATCACCCCCCTGAAGGACAGATGAAATACAAGGACGGCAAACTAACCTGGATTCAGCTTCATATTAGCGTATGTAAATTAAATTTCGAATTTATGAAATTTAAATTTTACAAATGTCAGTTCCTACTGACCAAGTCAGGGAGCGCATCGCTCAGGCGAAGGCTCGCCTTAAACAACAGATTGCCCAACAGCGCGCCAATCAATTACAACTTTCAGAAGAAACTCCTGAAAAACCGGGAAGCTCATTTCTTCCTACTTTGCATATAGAAGAGCAGTCCGCATCGGAACTACCTGCTCAGCAAGATTCGTCTTTTTCGAAGTCTGCAATGCATTCGAGTGGCCGGAAAACAATGCCTGCTTGGAGAATGGCACAAATCGACGAGATTTCCAAAAGGAGATCGGGGATCAGTGTTGGAGCCTGCAGATCGGCCTCGGATAGCATTAACACAAAAACGCAGGTACTCCTCGATCGGTTTCGCTCCTCTCTCAAAAAGACAACAGCCCCGGTGGAAATTTCCGAAGATACCAATGGCGCCAGAAATTTTATTGAAAAAACGGCAGCCAGTGATGGCATTCTGGATGAATCTCGGGCTCCATGCGCTCTGCATTTTGTTTCTGGATGCAAATCTTGCGCCGCTGCATCGCCAACTACAGAGAACGTTACACAGGCAGAGGCCGAACATGGTTGGCAATCGCATCTTCTCTTTTTCGAAAAAGAAGCCGGTGAGCGCCAGTTAAAGACAGACGCAGAGAACCTGCTTGTAATCGATCCGCGAGAGCGGATGGCTACCTTACAGCCAGTTTCAAAGCGAACTCGAAAGTAGCTTTTCGGCGCGTCCATAGTAAAAAGTTCTGCTTTTGAACCGATTTCGACACATCAACAAAGAGGCATTTTCAAGCCGTTTGCTTACAACGCCTTCTGCAATGGAACATTTGAGAGATGCATCCCCGTTTGGTAGAAAGTCTTTTGAATAAATTTAATTTATTTGTTTTTGCCTTCGAGAAGCACTCGAGCCTCGTTGATCTTTGAAGCAACATAGGGAGAGCCTCCGCGGTCCGGATGATTTGCCATTAATACGCGCCTATATGCGTCTTTTATCCGCTCGTGGGAATCATACTCCCTACGTGGTAAGGGCATAGTGGTACCGAACGCCAAGGATGAGCGAGGCCTCCCTTCGCGTCATGACGGGAGCGAATCCGCCTTGATGGTAGTGGATGAACGGGGATGTTCCTGTCAGCTGTGAAATTTTATTCATGTTGCGCCAGGCGCGCAGCAGCCCCCGTGCAGCCAGCGAGCCCCCGACTAGCGCTACGCCGCTAATGAGCAGCAGCGACGTCATTAAGAATTAAAATTTAATTTTGCTAAATTTGAGCCCAATTTAATCAAACAGCAATTTATGCAATCCAATCCGGTCATTGAGGATGAAATGGCGCTCGATGGCGCTATTTCTGCACACAAAACGCCACAGATTGGCTTCACAATGGAAGCCGCCCCACAAAAAGAGGACCTGCCCCAAATTGACGTTAATCAGCACTCTGCATTTTCGATGGATACCGATCGGCAATCCACAGATGGAGGCTTTGATACTTGCAGGGAAGAAACCGATTTATTTGAGCGTCTGTTCACAGTTTTTGAACGGTTTTGCCGTTTCGGAGTACCATCTGGCCAATTGTCTGCTGCAGGTGTGCCTTTGATGGATGGGTCACGATACGTAAAAATTTTCCGTGATGCGGGCATCCTCGGGGGTAATCATGGGCTTTCCGGACGACGGGCAACGTCTACAGATTGTGACATTGTTTTCAACTCGATCAGGCGCATCAATGAGCGCAAAATCAACTTTGACCAGTTCGTGGCAAGCATTGATGCTTTGGCAGCGCGTATCGGCACTGAAGTCGCACCGTTGCTACAACTGGTGGCAGCCTCCACAGGCCCAACTCTGATGGGTACAACGACACCCCATGCACCAGCATTAGCTACTGGACAGAGACTTTCCCTTGCAGAACGATCGCAACTAGCGACCGAAAGGTCCATGCTGGCCATTGAAAGATCGACGATTCCCACGGCTCGACACTCGATTGGGTCCCCATATAAACATCAAAGGGCTGAGGTGAACCGTTCGCCGAGATACTCCTTACGCTCGCAGCCTAACACCGAAAAAATGGTAAGATATATTTTTTGACCCTAGCCGGATGTTTTTGAAAGGCTCTGTGACATCAGCACATTTACAGGCACACAGAAGCAGAAGATGAGCGAACTCCGTGTTTTCCGCCCCTCTGCTCAATAAAAAATTGAAAAATCCAAGCATAGTGGAGAGGCAGCTAGTTCAAGTGGAAAGGCAGCTAGTTCAAGTGGAGAGGCAGCTAGTTCAAGTGGAGAGGCAGCTAGTTCAAGTGGAGAGGCAGCTAGTTCAAATGGAAAGGCAGCTAGTTCAAGTGGGGTAGGTGTCCTCGGGAGAAGGGTTGATATCAATACCTTGAGTTTCAGTGATGTCCTTTCTTGTGGGAGAGAAAATAGATCCATAAACCACTAGAAGAGGATATTCCAATTGTCAAGTAATCCGCGGTTGCGCAGCAGCAACATACTCAGTAGCGAAAGGATCAGCATGATCACCAATGTGCAGTAGAAAGGTGTTGCCGAGTAGTTGTAGTGGTAAAGAAACGAAAGCGGCGGCAACGCCACAGGATCTGCATAAACCCACGGCAGAGGAATGTTCATGCTAAAAAGAGCGCTAATGATGGATATCGGCATCGAGATAAAAGTGATAACTGTCAATTTTTTAAGCAAGGCGTCTCTGTAGGAGCACGATGCAATCAACGCTAGTTCTGCAACCTGGCAATGCTCTTCAAGAGCGCAGTTCAAGTTCATCTCAATAGCAGCAAGCTGCTCTAAAGCGTCGGGAAGGCAGGCGTCACTACGCTCGACACCAAGACCCGCGAAAAGTTCAAAATGCGGGACAAGGTATCTGCGCAAATGAGCAAGCTTACGTCGTTGCAGCCAGAATTCTCCGAGCGAGGGTGCCTTCTGTTGATGTTTTT